CCATCTTTAGATATTCCCACATTTAGCAGTTCTAGAGTTAGATTAAGTCATCCAATTGACAATGTGATAGGTCCATGGGATAAGCATGGTACTAGGAGTATAGTCCGTCATGATGTAGGACACTCATGCATTGTAGATGATATTATTCACTTATGTCACATGGCTCAATTTGAACCTAAGAATGTTGATGAAGCTCTTCACAGTTCTGATTGGCTTATGACTATGCAAGAAGAATTGCTTCAATTTGTGAAGAATGATGTTTGGGAACTAGTGCCTCGACCTAGTGATGTTAACATCATAAGGACCAAATGGATCTTTAAAAATAAACTTGATGAACATGGTCTTATGATGAGGAATAAAGCTAGGTTAGTTGCACAAGGATACACTCAAGTTGAAGGAATTAATTTTGATGAGACTTTTGCACTTGTTACTAGACTTGAGTCTATTCGACTTCTTTTTGCTTTTGCATGTCACTTTAAATTCAAATTGTTTCAAATGGATGTTAAAAGTGCTTTTTTAAATGGAATTTTGCAAGAAGAAGTTTATGTGGCATAACCAAAAGGTTTTATTGATCCACATAATCCTGATTTTGTTTTTCATCTTAAAAAGACTCTTTATGGTTTAAAGCAAGCACTTAGAGCATGGTATGAGAAGTTAACTTCTTATCTATTGCACAAGGGCTTCAGAAGAGGAGGAGCGGATAAAACATTGTTTATTTTAAGGAAAGGAAAAGATTTTCTTGTTGCTCAAATATATGTGGATGATATTGTTTTTGGTGCTAAATGTGATAACCTTGTTCATACTTTTTCTAAAGATATGAGTAAAACTTTTGAAATGAGCATGGTTGATGAACTAACTTTCTTTCTAGGTCTCCAAGTGAAACAACTTGATGATGGGATTTTCATATCTCAATCAAAATATGCAAAGGAGGTAGTTAAGAAGTTTGGTATGAAAGATTCAAAGCATATTCAAATTCCTATGAGTACTTCATCCAAATTGGATAGAGACTCTGACCCTAATAAGGTTGATCATTTCTTGTATAGGAGTATGATTGGTAGCTTGTTGTATTTGGCAGCAACTAGGCCAGATATTTCATTTAGTGTAAGTGTTTGTGTTAGGTATCAAGCTGATCCTAGGGAACAACACATTCTTGCAGTCAAGCGCATTATTCATTATGTCAATAGTACATTGAATTATGGATTGCATTATTTTTCTGAGTCTAACTCTGAGATTGCAGGCTATACTGATGTTGATTGGGCAGGAAACAAGGATGATAGAAAGAGTACATCAGGTGGTTGTTTCTATGTTGGTACTAATCTTATTTCATGGTACAGCAAGAAGCAAAATTGCATATCTTTATCATCTTGTAAAGCTGAATACATTGCTGCTGGAAATTGTTGCACACAATTGCTTTGGATGAAACAGATACTTCTGGATTATGGAGTTGATCAAAGTACTATTTCTATCTTTTGTGATAATACTAGTACAATTAATATTTCAAAGAATTCAGTTTTGCATTCTAGGACTAAACACATTGACATTCAACATCACTTTCTTAGGGAACTTGTTGAACAAAATGTCGTGTCTTTGGAAAAAGTGCATACTGATCAAAATTTGGCTGATATTCTTACTAAACCATTAGATGCGCCTAAGTTCTCTCATTTTTGGAAATCTATTGGTGTTTGTTGTCTTGATTAGATACATTGCAAAGACACAGTCTAGAAAGGACTTTCATGCATATCTTGAGTGTCTAGATTATGTTTTTGGGAAGATAAGCAAACCATATTGATTGAGTATGTTGAACACAAGGAGTTTAATGACACGTGGATTATCTGTGGAAAGCATACAATGGTTATGATTTAATGAAATTGGTTTTGCTTACTTATTTCATAAAGTAGATGAATCATTGATAGTACATTTACTTGAGATTTCATTGTTTTGGTCAAAGATAATGTTAATATGCTTGATCATTGTCTTAGGATTTAAACTTGATTTATGCGTTTTAGACCAAACGAGTGAAAAGAAAAAGAAAATTGAAAAACAGCTTGAAATGAAAAAGTTTTTAAAAAAGAAAGAAAAAAATTTGTTGTTTTGGAAAAAAATTGAGATGGAAAAAGCTACCTTTAGGAATTGTCCGAAAGCTACCTTGACTCGAAACAAATGGGAATAAGGGAAAGAGCTGGCTGCCCATAACGTGAAAGCCGCCAATGTGCAAAAAGAAAAATGGAGCACAAAGAGAGATAAGATAAAAAAAAAAAAAAAAAAAAAAAAAAAAAATTGTCTTTTGCACATGTTGATTGTTTGATTTCTGAGGATATGTGATATCATTGATTTATTATCTGAAATCTGAACAATTGACAGATCATATGTTTTTGGAACTTGGTGGTGATTTTACTGCACTTACCAAGTTTGTGGAACTTCATTGAATTGATCTTGGTTATTTCTGTTGATACATATAATCTTGTGGAGTCAATATTCTCATTGATTTTAATTTATAAGATTTATATAGTTGATTGCTTTCTTCTTCTAGGATAATTCTTCATTGACCCTTGTTAATTTGTGACAAAAAAGGGGAGAGAGTTTAGAGTCATATCATTCAGGGGGAGAGATACTTTTACATTAAGGGGGAGAACCATTGTTATCATTGCATGTGTTTACATATTGCGTTGATATTCAGGCATTAAAATTTGTTATTTTATGCTTGTGTTTATTTTCTTGATTAAGCTTCACGGGTAGTTGTGTTTGAGTTAATGTGCAGTTTACAGGTTGTTACATGTGTTGAAGTTTTATGAGGTTCAAGAAAATTTCCGCAGTTTATTTCCTTTAACAATCGTTGTAATTTACTTTCCTGCTTGGGTAGATTGCTGAATTGTTTTTAGGGTTTTGTTACGAAATTGCCAAAGGGGGAGATTGTGAGATATATATATTTTGAAAAGATTGTAAAAATATATATGTTCTGTAATTGGCCACTTTCGATGTCAAAACAAGTTCTAGTCGAGTTGTAATTTCAAGTTACTATATCGGGATCAACAGTGACTGCAGATTTTGAAGGTTGTTCAAAGATGCTATAATTGTGATCATCACAGAAAAGGAAGAACACCATGTTAAGAAGAAATCCAAAAAGGTTAGGACACATTCCATATTTGGTAATTTCAAGTCTAGTAGATTTGAACCTGTTCATGATTCTTGGAACAGGTTCAAACCATTAGAATTTCGTCTAGAAATCATTCTGCCATTCTGGAACCTGTTCCCATTTCTTTGAACAGGTTCAACTTTCAACATTGGCCTCGAAATACATTCTGCCATTCTGGAACCTGTTCCCAATTCTTTGAACAGGTTCAAGAGTCCTGATAGCCTATGGAAAGTTTAGTTTCCTGTTTCAGATTTCTCTCCTAGTTGGTCTAGAATTGTACCAAATCCTATGCACGAATTTTATCTTATTTTCTGAGGGATTAGGACTTTCTAAACTCTATATAAACCTTGTCATATACATTAGTTTATTCATGGCTTTAGGGAAAATCAATTCTATATTTTAAGAAAGCCTTTTTAGGGAGAGAAAATTCAGAAAATCAAATCTGATTATTCTGAATTTATTTATGAGAGCATACACATATATTCATGAGTGATTTAGTGGTATTGTTCTCTATTTCATCAGAATTGGAGCTATATTGAAGATTCAGATATTCCGAATGAAGAGCAGGATTTAATTCTTCTACAATCGAGTTCAGATCTTGAAGAAGATAAGTAAACGCAATCACACTTTGAAAGGGTTGGAGCATTCGTGGAGTGCTGTCTGATCTACCTATTACTCTTCTACAAATATCAAGTGTAAGCCTGAGATCAAGTTGCTGTTGGACGGGGATTCGCAAAGCTAAAGGATCGTCAGCGGTTGGTGTGGTGTAGAACGATAGGGTGTGAGCCAGAATCAAAGTTCGGTATACTTTGTTTCAAGCATAGTGGATTGGTTTACTTTGGACTGCATAGTCCACAAGGTTTTTCCCATAACAATTAATGTATTTTATCAACTGGGGTTTCCTCGCTAAAAATCCTGGTACAATCTCTCTAACTCTAACTTGCTTTATTTTTCACAATTGAAATCAACTAACAGTTTTCGCACCCCGCGTAACTCTTGTTTTCACAGTTTAAGCTCAACTTTGATGTTGCTTTGTGCAAAGGTTAATTTGCGGTTGGTAGGGAAATCATTGTTCGGGTTGATCGAGGCTTTCCTATCAAAGTTGCAACAGTTTATTTCACAGGAATTTCAAAGCCTGAAGTAGCTGAGACTTCGGTGCTCAAGGAGAGTATCATCTTTCTGTCTCGATGGGGATATTTTTCGACAGTGGTGGAGGGAGATTGCTTGAATGTCATCAACAATTCTCCTTCTTCCCCTATTTCTGCTATGGTGTTAAAGGAGATTAGTCTCCATTGCTCCTCTATCCCGGACCTTTCTCTTGCATGGACCCCTCGTTCTTGTAATGGGGTTGCTCATCTTCTGAGTAAATGGGCTTTGTCCCATAAATGTGGTGACCTTCACTAGTCTATTTGGCCTCATTGGCTTCATCAGGCCATTGAGGCTGATTTAACTTTTGTTTATCCGGGCTCTGCTTGCCCTGCTCTGTAGCTTTGTTCCTTTGTTTCTGAAAAAAAAAATTCTCACATTTTCATACATGTTCAATGTACCAATAACAAAAAGTATAAACTAAAATAAACCCCTGAAAATATCAAAAACTAAAGACATCTTCACAATTCATAAATGTTCAGTGTGCCCAAAAAAATCCATTTGTCAAAACACTATCAATTTTTCCTAGTACTCCTGTTGAACAACTCTATCATTCTCTTTTTTGGTTACACTGAAACATTTCATTACTATTCAATTTTGAAAACCTAGCATTCCTACTCACTCCAATTCGCGTCCATCTTCACATTGTTCATTTTTGGGCACAAGTTGACTTTCAATTTTTAAGTACTTTCTACCCCTCATTATTCATGATAAACATTAAACACTACAAAAACCCATTATTGTTCATGATAAACATTAAACACTACAAAATCCAAACAAATAGTTGCATCACAACGTACAGTCTCAATTTCAGTATGCTAATAACTGAAAGGGAAAGAAAAAGGAGGATTTATAAATCTTAAGTAAAAGAAAAACTCAGCAACCAACAATGAAGTTGCTCAAGTCAATGGCATAACAGCGGAGTCAGTGAGAGTTTGAAAGGAACAACAGAAGTACAGATCAAAAGGAAATTAAAAAAAAAAAAAAACCAAAATTGAACATCATCATAGTTCAATCTTTGGACTTGGGCGAATTATTCGGAGGCACAAACAAATGGACTCAGAACCCACTCCCAGTATGACTGTCCAGCTGGCACATTCATCGATCACCATCTATTGTTGTAAAAGAAATGATGCAACAATAGCAATCCCTACAGTCGCCACCATTCCATGCATGGTGAGACTAACTGTACCAGAGGTATTAACAGTGGAGCTTGGAGTGCTTTTCGCGGGGGGTGTCTTCTTCTCTGCAGGCATCAGTGGTGCCAGTGTCAGTGCTGGTGCTTTAGCTTTTGCTGGTGCCGGTGCCGCTTTTGGTACCGGAGTACCAAAAATGCTCCAAGGAAGAAGCACACTATCCACCTGATACACAGCAAGACGGTTGGCCGTATAGATTGAGCCAGATATTGGAGTGTTCATAACGCCGGTGGACACTTTCACTATGCTACCGGAGGTCGTCACGTTAAGCGGGAACTCACCGGGATCGCTGCCTCCAGCTTGTGTCCGCAATGGGTTGGTGGCAGTTTGAAACTGTGCTGGGGTGATAAAGGTAGGCAATATATGAAACTGCAATAGCTGGATCTGCTGTTCATCAGTGAGAGAGTTGAGAGTGCCCTGTTTTAGGCTCGAAAACGCAGCATCGGTGGGTGCAAATATAGTTAGGCCATTGTTTGAGTCTTTGAGCTGGGCATTGATCTGGGAACCCACACTGGTACTTTTCAGAAGCCGGAGAAACAGCGTAAAGCGGCCATCCTTTTCGAGGATTTTCATGATGTTGGGGCGGCCAGCAGGTACGGGGGGCCCTGGCGTGAGGGGAGCAATACTCGGTACTGGGGGTGCTGCCACCACCGGGGTCGCTGGAGGTGCTGCTACCACTGGGGACGCTAGAGGCGCTGCTACTACCGGGGACGCTGGAGTCGGCACTGGGAGCACTGTCGGGGATGCTGCAGGGGACTGAGCTAGGGTTGTGCTGAAATGGGTGTGGAATAGTAGTGTAAGTGAGAGAAAGAAGAGAATTGGGTTCATCATTTTCTTGGTTCTTGGTGTGGCCTAGCTTGAAGGGTTGCTTGTAAGAAATAGATATGTAGAGATTAACTAATTGAATGGGAGAGTAGGCTTGAATGGTGTATTGAGTTGGAGATGGAAAACAGAAGGAGAGATTAAGAGGCTTTAAAGAGACAATGGAAGGATAATGTTAGGTGAAGTGCATCCATTTTAGCAGAAAACCAGTTTGCATCCAAATGCGGTACGGTGGATATCATACAAGGTTGCTTGGTTTTTTCATTTGATTTATTAAAGTATCAGTGCTAACAACAACTTATTTTTAGGACCACTCGGGAAAAAAAAAAAAAAAAAAACAACTTATCTTTAGGATGAAACTTTTTGTGGCAATCGAAATCTACCCGTTTGCATCATAAAGTTTGATTACAAATATAAAAAGATATATAAATTAAATGATCATCATCACTATTCTGTGTTTGGTTAGACCAATTTAAAATCTAGTAATGAATTTCAAAAACACATTTATGACTTTAAAAGCTAAAAAAACACTAACTAATCTTCTTTTTTCCCCCAGTTTTAAAAACTATCAATTTAAAACCTAAAATTAAGAGAGGACATACCGCCAATGGGACTATATATCAATAAACATTATTGAAAAGGACCACTCCCAACATAGAATGAAGCAAATAAAGAATAAAATGAAGCCTAATACTAATTACGCGGATCATTAAAAGTAGCAATGGCACCCACATCCATGACCTCAAAAGCAATAATTCTAGCAACATCACAAATGCTACCTAATCATCAACACGTGACCTATATTGCCAACAATTACAACTAAACACCATACAATGCTAACAAATCTCACTTATAATGCCAATAACTAAAACAATAAATTGAAATGCACCATTGAAAATATCGACATGATAGCAATTCATCAATGTACGATGTGCCTAAAAAAAAAAAGAAAAAGGAAATCCATTTGAAAACACTGTCAATTTTTCCCAACACTCTTGATGAACAATTCATCAAGGTTCAATTCTCATTCACTACAAAAACCTAGCACTCCTACTCACTCCAATATGTCCATCATCACAATGTTCATGTCCCAGCACAAGTTGACTTTCAATTTTCCAAACATGTTCTCCGCTACATTGTCCATGGTAGCACATTAAGCACTACAAAATTCAAGCAAGTAGCTTCATCACACAAGTCAATTTCAGTACGCTAATAATGTTAAGAACTTGAAGGGGGAAAAAAGAAAGAAAAAGAGGATTTATAAATTTTAAGCAAAGAAAAAACTCGGCAATCAACAATGAAGTTGCTCAAGTCAATGGCATAACAGCACACAATCAGTGAACCACTCTAGAAACCTGCAATGACTTTAGACATCAAAGTAATGGTGTAATTCGATAATATGTCACGAATTCACCATATTATGTCTTACGTAAAGAACCAATATGCAGTAGCAGCAGTACACATATCTAATAACAAATTGCAACCAAAAACCTAAAATCTGACAATTAAAGGTTGTTAAGTTATATGATGCCATGACAATTTCTCCTTACATAAATAAACAGGCACGGACTTAAAAGAGGAGGGATGCCCCCTGAATATTTTTTTTAGCATTAAATACTAGTAATTTTATTATTTTTAATTTTATACCTGTGAAATTTTAACGCTATCCTCCTGAAATTATAAAAAAAATTCAATTTTGCACCCCCTTACACAATTTTCTGGGTCCGTCCCGGTAGATAAAGAACAAGGATTTATGGTGATCCAATATTTTGTCTGCGGGGCATTTCATCCTTTAATTGAACAGGGGAAGTTCTGAGAGTGTTCTCTTCTTGTGGGCTTCATGTAGTTGCAACAATTAGACACATCATACAAGTAGGGCAAAAGAACTAAAAACTATTGCTACACTAAAACTACACCAGACCAACAAAGGTACAGCAACCCAAAATCAGACAAGAACTCATACCTACTATAAATAAAAAAAAAAAAAAAAGGCAACTCATCTGAGTGTACTAGTGCATCAAACAGAGCGGATAGCCAATACTAGGTCAAACCAGCAAATGCAAAACAGGTTAGGCAGAAAGGATATGATGTTCTTGACCTTAAATATGGGGCGACAAAGATGTTCTTTACTTTAAATTTAAGAGATATCTAGCAGAGATTAGGGGGTTCTGCATACTAAAGTTATAGGTCTAAGCTTAGTAGATCAGTGCATTAGGATTCATTATAATTTTCCATCTTAAACATCAACTAATTTAAACAGAGTAGTCTCATACATTATTTATGAGAGGTAGAGAATCAAAGATCAATTTTGAATTGTCAGATGCATATATCCAACAAAAGCAAATCAGCACTCTCTCCCTAGCCATTACATGTACTCATTCTCAAACTGGGGTTGCCACTTATCAACAGAAGATCGGTTCTAGTGAAGCCTTTATACAAATATCATAAGCTGACTTCATCAAATATAATAAGCAATCTCTAAAATGAACAAATTAATTGAACACGCGATTGAACTGAATATATATATATATATATATATATATACATTTCCTGTGAATTTGAGAATTTGGTAAGAATTCCAATTATATTCTACAATGAGATCGGCAATGGTAACACCAGAAGGGCCGGTATGATTGAAACAGAGCCCAAAACAACACGTTGAACATTTTAAATGCTTCTCTACACCATTTTATTTAAATGCATCCATCCACAACAATAAATGAATACCACAATACTACAATAATCAAAGCAAAAGTTGTTTCAGCAAAATTGTACACCATTTATTTCCATCTTACTGTCAACAAAAGAAAGTATTAACAAGTTCATGTATATTCCACATGCAGTTAGTTAACGAATCAATGAACCTTGAAACCTGGATAAATCTAAAGACTAAATCAGCAATAAAATGCTTCAAAGACAAAGATTTGGCAGGGACATAGACAGGTTCTACTCATTAACCATAAAAAATTATAAGAAGAATGATTTAAAACTAATTCTTCAACAGAACAACTAAAGTTATACGCTAGAATCGGGTTAAAGTTAGAACCTCGTTGCATCCACTTACCCAAAGCGAGTTGGCTAGTTTGAGTTAAATTGTGCCACCTCTAAGGTTGACAAATATAACAATGTGCTCATCTTTGATCATAAAAATTTAGATGCCATCGTCGCACATATCACTTGGCAGCAGGTTACACTCTTGGGAAGAAAAATGATCAGAAAATTAACAACGAAATTCAAAGACAGAGTTCATGTTTGATCAAAAAAATTATATGCTATACAAAGTCAAATACCAAGTGTTCATCTTTGATCAAAGAATTTTATATGCTATCTTCGCACATATCATTTTATAGGTAGTTTTGGAAGATAGCATATATATAAGATATGGCCAAAACTGAGATTAATTTCTAATATAATATATCATAATTTTGGAAGATATAACAAATGGCCAAAAGTGAGAATAATTACTACTATAACATATCATGTTCAAGAAAGACTGAGTGCAAGAAATGCCTCATAACGGAAGGGCATTAGCAAGCAAGTTGGTAATTAATGAATTCTCTTACATTCCTAATGTACAACTTTAATTTGGATCATAGTTAGTATTTTCTTCATGCAATTTTCAGTGTTTGATCGATTTTCTGGTTGCAGAGTAGATAAGTGAAAATTATTGATTTTATTTTTCAGAAGCTATAGCCTGTGGTAGAAATTTAAGAGTTGGAATCTGTATGCCTAATAGCCACCATGACCATGGGTTACCATATACAAAACATGTACCATTTGTAATGCCGAGATCTAACATAGCAGAAATTAATCCATGTTCTTATTTTCATATCCAAAGGTTCAATAACACTATTACCTTCATGGGAAGGATTCAAAGTATCAAATATCAATGATGGAATTTATGGTTGCGGTCGTGTTAGCCTCTCGATAGTGATAAGGAAGGTGAAAGACAAAAACTTACATTAACACCACCAAGACCTCCAGCGGTAAGCATATATAAGTCCAAAGCTATCATAAATAAGGGTCTTACAGTTAATGAGATTGACTTTCCAGTTTTCCCATAAACAGACGTGGACAAAATTAATTTTGAAAAAGAAAAAAAAAAAAAAAATTATTGAAAAGTACCCCCTAGCAACATCACACATGCTACCTCTTAAGTTGCTGAACAAAAAGGAGTATGCTCTCTCAGAGAGGGTTACAGCTTGTAGGGATGAGCTCTTCCTTTGCCAGGGGAGGCTCAACTCCAACCAGCTGACGATTCACTTAGACTCAGTGAAAAAGAGCTATCACAGAAGTTTTTTGAGCTCCTTTTGGTAGAAGAAATGTTCTTTAAGCAGAAATCACAGGTTCATTGGTTCAGAGAGGGTGACCAAAACACCTCTTTCTTCATGAAGAACTTCAACTCAAAGGCTAACAAGAGGAAGGTTCAATCAATTACTGATCCAAATGGGAACCAGATACAAGGGCAAGACCTATAGAGAGAATTACTCAACCACTTCCATTCCATTCCATTCTTGGTCAATGCAGTAGCAACTACTCAAGTATGAATTCTTTCTCCTATGTTATTTCTGTTATGAAAAAAGAATCGAATAGGAGTTTTGATAACAAGAGAAAAATAATGACAAGAAAAAAAAAATAGGCACACACACAATCGAGATAAGGATTTATACGTGATTCAGCTATGCCTACATCCACGGGGAGAAGATAGAACAATATTTCACTATGGAAATAAAGAGATACAAGGTAAAGTGGCTCACACCCAAAACCCAATTACACCCAAACTCTCTCACCCACCCACTAACTGATCTTACAAACTCACTCAATTGATTTGGGATGCTTCAACACCACGGAGGGCAAGGCTATTTATAGCCAAAATGGGACACCAAAATGAGGCTACTTGGTGACCACTCAAAAGACTTGCTAGGCACATATTCTTCGAGGCCAAGAATAAAGCTTGATGAACACATATACTTGGAGGCCAAGAAGATGATGTCATGGGTGATGCAAGCCTCAAATTGAGCCACATGTTCAACAAATCTCCACCTTGACGAAAATTCAAATGAGCCACTATATCTCTGCAAAACAAATTGTCTTCTCCA